AGGCGTCTACCCAAAGATGTGGTCAAGCAGCTTTCTCGAGCGGTGGAGAAAAGATACCCACAGATGTTCAAATGTATGAAGAGACGCGTAAAAGAAAAGAGGGTCGAACCGACAAGACTTCATTTGATGAAACGAGTGTAAAACTTGTAAGTTTATTAGAAGATATTTCTTGAAAATGTTTTTGTTAATTCTATTTTAACTGTTGATAAATGTGAGTGATTATATGTTAGAACAATACAGATTATGCTCACAGATCTCATAATTGATCAAGAACACAAAAGGCAACTTTTATAGAATCTCCTTAGGCATACTGTGTTTTTTGCTTCATTACTTGACCATTCTTCTTCACTTCTTTTACCCTTGAATTTTCTCTCCATTCCAACAATTCCTGCCTCTTACTTTGGAGAATTATCCTGGTATTAGGGTCAAAAGAAACTTGACCGACAGCTTCTTGTATTTTGTAAGTCAAGCTTTGGAGAATTCCTGTATTAGGGTCAAGCTTCTTCTGGTATTATCCTTGTATTTTACCCTTGTATTTTGGAGAATTCCTGCCTCTTACTTTGAAGTAAGTCAAGCTTGATGTAATCTAACATAACGCGCATCGAGAAACTAGTACTCTTATACTCCGTAACAAATATCCCCCTTACCCATAACCCACTAACAAAACTAAATGGCACTCATTAAAATTGAAAATGAGATATATAATACGGAGTAATTACCTAGAAATATTGTTGTTAGTTTAACTAACTAACTAAGTACGGAGTGTAAGCATGAACTGAACCCATCAAATCCTGTTCGTATACCGTGCAACCGGTGCATGGTGAGCACCATGCACCCATGGTTATATGAGATGTAACTCGTGCGATTCAAGATGTAACTTCAAGTTAATCAAAATGTAAATTGCACTCATTCATATGTAACTCGTTGAAATGTAAACTGCTTTTATTGAAATGTAACTTGGGGAACAAATTAGATGTAACTTGAGATATGTAACTTTAGGCTATTGAAATGTAAAACGTTTTTACAGAGATGTAACTCCACACACACACACACACACATATAAATGAATATTTATATATTCATTTAAATGTCGAGGCATGGTCTGGAGCTGCAACTGGGTGCTGCAACTAGGGATTGTGGTGGTGTGATGCGGCAGTTGCAGGGGCTGCATAGGGGTTATTGGTGTGGGAGGGTATGGAGCAACAATTCTGCAGGCCAAGGATGGGAGAGGGGTTGGGGGCTGTGAAGGTCATTGTTGGGCGGCCAAATAACGGTGGCAGGTGGCCGGGGGCGGGGAGAGAGTTGCTGGTTTAGACGCACGTGGTGGGGAGGACGGAGTGGCGGACGATCGCGATGTTGTGTTGTTTTGCGACCGGGCACACCATCCTCATGGTGCGCCGGTCGCACGGTATAAATTGCGCATCAAATCCCCCTCATCATATTAAGCCTCTCTGTACCGTAGATTATATCTCTTTCCCTAGCTCTCCTTTATGATCAATCTCACATCTCCCATCTCCTTTACACCACTTTCGCCCATCCATTTAGGGCTATTCCTTCATCCTTAAAAACATAACATCTTCAAAATTGAAGAAAAGATTGCTAGGTACCCTACAATATTCTTTTTCATTCTCCCACCCACGCTCACTTACATTTTTACCCCCATCTAGGAAATCTCTCCTCTTTTTTACTCGGCATCAACACTCTCAAACTGTCCTTTCTCTTCATCAATCTTTCTCTTCTTCTTAAACAAAGTCCAGCCGCCAAATTTATTTAAATCTATCTTAGCTCAGCTCTTTACACCAAATTCATCATGTCTTCGCCATCAGATCTTTCATCACCATTTGATGACTGATTGACTACAGGTTTGGCTTTTTCATTTTTGCGGTTAATATGTTTGATAATTTTTTTAGGTGATTGTCTTAATTTTTTACCATAAATTTGCTCTATATTTTTAAGGTCATAATCCTTACTGCAAATTGGTCATAAGCTTGCTGAAACGACGCTCTAATACAAGTTCAAAAGAGCCTACTAGACGATTTACCACGGTTGCATATTTAATGGTAATTGTTTTAGTTTTTATTTGTTATCAGTCACTAATTTTTTATTTGTTATCCCTCAAACTATGTTCTATTGCTTTTGTCTATATAAAAAATTGTGATTGTATTCTTGAACATTTAATTAAATATTTAAAAATTATGTGCCTCCTAAAACAGAAAAAACTTTCACACCTAACCTTCTAAAAAATAACTTGGATTGCTGTTTGATTTTTCAGTAGACGAGAACTATTTTGGGGCTGGCAAGTCACTTGGGCATGTCCAATGGTAGGAACATGCATGGTGGTACACGGGATTTCATCACAGTTGCAATTGGTCATTATTAGTTAACATGAAAAAATAATTAAGGGTGTAGTGATGAGGCTGAAGCGGTTTTCGTCTATTTCTTTCCTTTGCCACAAATTTTAGCAGCATAAATGTCTCTTCTTCTGTTGGTAATAATAGCTGCCATTGTATTTTATATTAGCCTGTAACTTTTAGCTCACTGACTATAACTTTTACTTGTGAGAGTTCAACTTCATATACAAGTTGTTGGATTTTAAATAAATATAAATCATAAATATGGTGCAGATTGATACTCTTATCATATTACAAGCTTGGACAATTCTATTTCTTTCTCATGTTTTCGAACACATATTTGCAAAAGGAATGTGAAAAAGTGTTTCCACTTTCCAGGTTATAAATGAATTGGTTCAACGTGAATGGATGTCTCAATTGTGTGCAATGACAGTGAGCAAGAATCAAGGGCAATCATAGAAAATCATGATTGTTTATTCTTGGTCTATCTAGGGGTGGACTCGGGCCGGTTCGAGCCCGGTTCGGGCCTGGGCTCGGCCGAGGCTTGGTTCATGAAAGGGGAGGCCCGGAACCGGGCTGGGCCGGGCCTCGGTTCAATTTATATTTTTTTTGGCTTTTCCTAATTAACCCCCAACCCTCCCCCTCACTCCCAAACCACCCCAAACCACCTCAAATGGCCCAAAATACTCAGCCCAACCCAAAAACTTAAAAAAAATTCAAAACAAATTCAAAAAAAAAAATTAAATTGGCCGGGACCGGCCCCGAAACGGACGGGCCGGTTAACCTTTTGAGGGGCCCGAGCCCGGCCCGGAACCCCAGCGGGTAGGGCCTACCCGGACCGGTCCCTGGCTGGGCCGGTTCAAACAGTAACCGGTTCGGGCCGGTTCCAGGGTGGGCCGCCCGGCCCGAGTCCACCCCTAGATCTATCATGATCTTAATAATAATGAATAATTTTTATACGACAGTCTTGAGGTTTACAAGTTCGTTCAGCTTGAATTTTCAGCTAGAATTTCATGACATGTGATGAGGAAGGGAATGTGAAAGGCTACAAAACGTGTGTACAAAGTCTTCAATAATTTGTAACATGTGTGCTTTGCAAGATTATATTGTTACTATGTATTATCTACTCGCGAGTTCTCTTATTTTATACTCCATGAGAAAAGTAATACTTTATCTACATTTGCCAATGCACAACTTTGATCTTCAATATAATTTATTTTCTAATTGTAAAAGTTTCAAAAAATTTGCATTTTGAAAATTTAAACTGAGATGAATTTAATAATATTTTTTTCTAAAAATAAAATTTTAATGTATTCATAAATAAAATATAGTCAAAGTAGAGCATGTGAATAGTGTAAATTTTTTAATGTTGCAACTATTTAAGAATGGAGGTAATTATGATTTAAAAAATTGAGTTTATATAACGACGTTTGTAATATATGTATATGACATCCCGTGCAACGCACGGGTGAAAAACTAGTTAAAATTGAAAATGAGATATATAATACGGAGTAATTACCTAGAAATATTGTTGTTAGTTTAACTAACTAACTAAGTACGGAGTGTAAGCATGAACTGAACCCATCAAATCCTGTTCGTATACCGTGCAACCGGTGCATGGTGAGCACCATGCACCCATGGTTATATGAGATGTAACTCGTGCGATTCAAGATGTAACTTCAAGTTAATCAAAATGTAAATTGCACTCATTCATATGTAACTCGTTGAAATGTAAACTGCTTTTATTGAAATGTAACTTGGGGAACAAATTAGATGTAACTTGAGATATGTAACTTTAGGCTATTGAAATGTAAAACGTTTTTACAGAGATGTAACTCCATACACACACACACACACATATAAATGAATATTTATATATTCATTTAAATGTCGAGGCATGGTCTGGAGCTGCAACTGGGTGCTGCAACTAGGGATTGTGGTGGTGTGATGCGGCAGTTGCAGGGGCTGCATAGGGGTTATTGGTGTGGGAGGGTATGGAGCAACAATTCTGCAGGCCAAGGATGGGAGAGGGGTTGGGGGCTGTGAAGGTCATTGTTGGGCGGCCAAATAACGGTGGCAGGTGGCCGGGGGCGGGGAGAGAGTTGCTGGTTTAGACGCACGTGGTGGGGAGGACGGAGTGGCGGACGATCGCGATGTTGTGTTGTTTTGCGACCGGGCACACCATCCTCATGGTGCGCCGGTCGCACGGTATAAATTGCGCATCAAATCCCCCTCATCATATTAAATTGCATAAAAATTCTGAAGTTAATGGCACTTAAATCATTAGCTAGGTGGATATAGTGATATACACACTAATATACTCAGGGTGTATTTAGTTGGCCGGAAGTATTCAACAATGATGTTTGCCAATTCATTCAATCTTTTTATAATTAAATCTCTAATTAATGAAGAATTCAATTTCCAGGTCATATCCAAGTACAAGCAAATTGAAGAATCCAATTCCTAATTTCCCTGAAGTTTCCTCCATGTGCAAGAATGACAAAGGGATCTTCCATACACCTAGGAGTGACCTTCCTTCCAACCACCATTGAAGCTTCCTTCCACCTTCATAGTACCTAGTTTTGGTGCTATAAATAGAGAGCTTGGAGAGTCTTTCTATCATCAAGTAAATTAGAATAGATCATCATAGCACAACCAAGAAGAGTTGTGAATATCCTTGAGAGATATGTGAGGTGTTGTTTTTGAGAGTTTTTAGTTAGAGCTTGTATGTCTCTTCTTTCTATTCTTGAAAGTAATAGAAGTGTTTTTCTCTCATATTAGCACGATCCTGTTATTCCCAACAAGTGGTATCAGAGCCAGGTTGAGCTTTTGATATTTTTCCCAGATTTTTTCAGATAAAATTCTACTGTCTGAAAAATCGAGTTTTTCAGTATTGCTCGGAATTGCAATCAAAATATACCGTTGGATTCGTCTCGTCGAGACGAGAAAACTGGTATTTTTGGGGATTTTTTTGGCCACCGGAAGCTGCCGTACGCGCCGCCAAACGCCGGCCAAAAACTGCTTGCGTCATGCTGACGTCATCACGCGCAGACAGAGGTTGAAGACAGCTGACGTCATCGCTGACGTCATCAGCCAGCCAGAGCTGCGTCAGCGACACGTCAGCACCACATGTGCAGTCCCAGCACAGTCAGCCGCCACGTCACCAGTCAACTGCCAACTTTCACCAGCGCCCAGTCAGCTGCCACGTCATCGCCCAGTCACTGCCACGTCACCGCCACGTCATCTGCCACGTCACCGGTCAGTTTGTAATTTTGAAAATTTGCAGTTTGGTCCCTCAATTTTTGGAAAATTATAATTTCCACCTATAATTTTTCGAAAATTGTATTTTGACCCCGAAAGTGCCTACCCACCACTTTCGGCCGTTCCGGACGCAACGGTGCTGCCCGTTTTTCGAAATTCGGCTCCGATTTTTCTGAAACAGAAAATCAAAATTATTTAGAAGGTGAAAATGACCTTTGACGAGTCAACTTCATCTTCCGGAGCTATGATTATGCTCACGGCTACCAACTACACGCTATGGAAACCTCGGATGGAAGATTTCCTTAGTTGTAAAGACCTTTTTGATCCAATAGAGATGAAAGGTATTAATTCTGATCCGGCCAAGTCAACGGAGTGGAAGAAAATTAATAGAAAAACTATTGGTCAAATCCGACAATGGATTGACCATAGTGTCTTCCACCATGTTGCACAAGAAACCGATGCTTATGCCCTTTGGAAAAAGCTAGAAGATATGTACCAGGCCAAGACCGCTAGGAACAAGGCCCTACTGATGAGGCGTCTTGTCAATATGAAGCTCAAAAGTGGAACTTCTGTTGCCGAACATACTAGTCAATTTCAGAGTCTGGTAAATCAACTATCTTGTGTAGAAATGCCACTTGGAGATGAAATGCAATCTCTACTGCTTCTTAGTTCCCTTCCTGATAGTTGGGAGACACTAGTTGTTACTCTCAGCAACTCAGCCCCAGATGGCAAACTTACCATGTCTGTGGTCAAGGATGCATTGTTCAATGAGGAGGCAAGAAGGAAAGACATGAGCACAGATGAGACTCATGCCCTTGTGACAGAGAATAGAGGAAGATCACAAGGAAAACAACAAAGAAACAGTAGAGGGAAATGGCAAAGCAGGGGCAAAAGTCGGGGGAGATCATCAGATGGCCGGAAACCTTCTTATACCTGCCACCATTGCGGTATAGAGGGTCACATGAAGAAGAATTGCTACAAATTGCTAGAGGAGCGAGGCAAGAGCAATTCTCAAGTGAAGAGCAAGGGTGGTGAAGCGCTCATCACAATCTCAGGTGATGTGGCGTATTGTACTATCAATGATGAAACATGCCTTCACGTCTCAAGAGAGGACACTGAATGGGTGGTAGATACTGCAGCATCCTACCATGTTACTCCCCACAGGTACTACTTCACAACTTACAAAGCTGGAGACTTTGGAGCAGTGAAGATGGGCAATTCCAGTTCATCTGAAATAGCTGGAATTGGTGATGTACAAATAAAGACGAGTTCTGGGAGCACAATCACTTTGAAGGATGTCAGACATGTTCCAGACCTTCGTCTCAATCTCCTGTCAGTGGTATGTCTTGACGAACAGGGGTATGAAAACTACTTTAACAGGGGCACCTGGAAAATGTCAAAGGGCATTTTGACAATCGCTCGAGGACATGTTTGTGGCACATTGTACAAAACCCATTTGAGGATTTGTACGGAAAGCCTCAACATTGCTGAGGAGACTTCTCAGAATCTGTGGCACCTGAGACTCGGCCACATCGGTGAGAAAGGGCTGACTACCTTGATCAAGAAGAACCTTATCAACATCGACAAGAATGCTGCACTGGGTCCTTGCAGTCATTGTCTGTTTGGTAAGCATCATAGAGTATCATTTAGTTCTACTTCAGCTAAAAGATCAGAGTTGTTAAGTTTGGTACACTCCGACGTCTGTGGTCCTTTCGAGGTGGAATCAATCGGTGGAAGCAGATATTTTCTGACTTTTATTGATGATGCTTCTCGGAAAGTGTGGGTGTATTTCCTGATTACGAAAGATCAGGTATTTGAGTGCTTCAAGACATTTCACGTCCTGGTGGAACGTGAAACGGGAAAGAAGCTGAAATGTCTCCGATCTGATAATGGAGGCGAGTACACATCCAAGGCGTTCGATGCATATTGCAGAGAATATGGCATTCGACATGAGAAGTCAGTACCACGCACCCCTCAGCACAACGGCGTTGCTGAAAGAATGAACCGGACTATCATGGAGCGTGTCCGGAGCATGCTGAATATGGCTAAGCTTCCGAAGTCATTCTGGGCAGAAGCAGTCAACACCGCATGCTACCTTATCAACCGATCACCTTCGGTACCACTGAACTTTGAAGTTCCAGAGAGGTTATGGACAGGTAAGGATCCTACATACTCACATCTTAGAGTATTTGGTTGTTCATCATATGCACATGTATCCAAAGAGCTCAGGCAGAAGCTCGATGCAAGAACTATCCCATGCATTTTCGTTGGCTATGGAAATGAAGAGTTTGGATACAGGCTATGGGATCCTAAGGAGAAAAAGGTGTTCAGAAGTAGGGATGTTGTGTTCCACGAAGATTTGACAATAGAAGACATTGAAAAACCCACAATGTCTCGGAAGTCAAATGAGGGTGCTCAAGTTTCAAATGAAGCACCAGAAGAGGACGAAGTGCATGAAGATAACTCAGAAGCAGAAGAACACGAGGAGACAGAAGAGAGTGCAGGGCAAGGGGAGACACAATCCACCCCGCCAGACACAGATGATGGTAGCTCTTCTCATATGGTCCCTACTGTTCGTAGATCTGAACGAGGGCATATACCATCGACAAGGTACACATCATCTGAATATCTTTTGTTAACTGAAGATGGAGAACCAGAGAGTTTTCAAGAAGCTGTATCTCATAAGGATAAAGAAAAATGGCTAATAGCAATGCAGGATGAGTTAGAATCTCTGCAGAAAAATCAAACTTATGAGATCGTAGAACTTCCTAAAGGGAAGAAGGCACTGAGGAACAAATGGGTGTTCAAGCTGAAGAAGGATGCAAACGGACAAGTGGTGAAACACAAAGCTCGGTTGGTTGTCAAAGGGTTCCAGCAGAAGAAAGGAATTGACTTTGATGAGATCTTTGCACCAGTTGTCAAGATGACCTCAATCCGAGTTATACTTGGCTTGGCAGCAAGTATGAACTTGGAGCTTGAACAAATGGATGTGAAGACAGCATTTCTTCACGGAGATTTGAAAGAAGAAATCTACATGCAGCAGCCAGAAGGTTTTGAGAACTCAAATGATAATTTTGTGTGTAAATTATCTAAGAGTTTGTATGGCTTGAAGCAGGCACCAAGGCAGTGGAATAAGAAGTTTGACTCATGCATGAAGAGTCAAGGCTACAAGAAGACTACTGCGGATGAGTGTGTATACATCAAGAAACTTTCAGACGGTACTTTCATTGCTCTTCTACTATATGTAGACGACATGTTGATCGTTGGGAAAGATGCAGTGAAGATAAACCAGCTGAAGAAAGAACTCTCTAAGTCTTTTGATATGAAAGACTTAGGACCGGCTCAACAGATTCTTGGGATGCAGATCACTCGAGACAGGAAGAATCGCAAGTTATGGCTATCTCAGGAGAAGTACATTGAACGAGTACTTGAGAGATTCAACATGAATGATGCCAAACCAGTAAGTGTTCCACTTGCGAATCACTTCAAGTTGAGCAAAAGAACATGCCCTACATCCAAGGAAGAGATCGGGGAGATGTCAGCAGTTCCATATTCTTCAGCAGTTGGGAGTTTGATGTACGCCATGGTATGCACAAGGCCAGACATCGCACAGGCAGTGGGTACAGTGAGTCGTTTTCTCTCTAACCCCGGGAAGGAGCATTGGGAGGCAGTCAAATGGATTCTCAGGTACTTGAAAGGTACCACGAAGTTATGCCTTTGTTACGGAGGAGCTGATCCAGTCTTGGAAGGCTACACAGATGCTGATATGGCCGGAGATACTGATAGTAGAAAGTCTACTTCAGGATATATTTACACTTTTGCAGGGGGAGCCATTTCTTGGCAATCAAGATTGCAGAAGTGTGTCGCTTTATCTACAACAGAAGCAGAATACATTGCTGCCGCTGAAGCAGGTAAGGAAATGTTGTGGCTAAAGCGCTTTCTCCAAGAACTTGGGATCCAGCAGAAAGAGTACAAGGTACATTGTGACAGTCAGAGTGCTTTAGACTTAAGCAAGAACTCCATGTACCATTCTCGTACAAAGCATATTGATGTTCGGTATCACTGGATACGAGAGACGATTGATCAACAACTGTTGAGACTAGTGAAGATCAATACAAAGGAGAATCCATCAGACATGCTGACGAAGGTGGTGACACGGGATAAGCTAGAGCTGTGTAGAGACATAGTCGGGATGCTTGTTTTGAATATGCCTGGAAGGGGAGAATTGAAGAATTCAATTTCCAGGTCATATCCAAGTACAAGCAAATTGAAGAATCCAATTCCTAATTTCCCTGAAGTTTCCTCCATGTGCAAGAATGACAAAGGGATCTTCCATACACCTAGGAGTGACCTTCCTTCCAACCACCATTGAAGCTTCCTTCCACCTTCATAGTACCTAGTTTTGGTGCTATAAATAGAGAGCTTGGAGAGTCTTTCTATCATCAAGTAAATTAGAATAGATCATCATAGCACAACCAAGAAGAGTTGTGAATATCCTTGAGAGATATGTGAGGTGTTGTTTTTGAGAGTTTTTAGTTAGAGCTTGTATGTCTCTTCTTTCTATTCTTGAAAGTAATAGAAGTGTTTTTCTCTCATATTAGCACGATCCTGTTATTCCCAACAATTAACGGTGTGTTTGAAAGTTAGATTTCGGAAGGGAGGAAAAGATTTGATTGATGAGGGTTTATAAGTTTGGAGGAATCACGTTGGAGGGTTCTTGAATTATAACTCCAAAATCTTTCAACCGTTTAATTTGTAATTTCCCTAAAATTTGGAGGTTTTAGTGGATAACATGTAAAATGATGATTTTAGCTCAATTTAAAATAAATAAAAGTTCAATTATTTATATTCGTTATTCGGAGTATATGTTTGTTAATTGATTTTAATTATAACTCTTCTCAACTCTCCTCTTTGGGAGAACTACCAAATAAGCCCTCGAACTTACTTAAAAAGTGCAAATCACCCCTTGTATAGGAGGTTCTGTCCAGCCGTTGCCATTTGAGTCGGTTCCCCGTGGAATTTTCTGATGAAATTTTATGTGCATCTTATTCATTAAGTCTAGTTACTCATACCAAATTTCAGCTAAAAATTCAATCGGGAAGACAGTCAAATGAATATTTGAAGATAATTGCGCAGTTAAACAGCGCAGTATATTTCATAAAATCATTTGACTGTCTTCCCGGTTGAATTTTTAGCTGAAATTTAGTATGAGTAAACTAGACTTAATGAATAAGATGCTCAAAAAGTTTCATAAAAAAAATTCACCGGAAACCACCCCAAATGGCGACGGCCGGACAAAGTCTCCTATATAATGGGTGATTTGCACTGTAAGTTAGAGGGCTTATTTGATAGTTCTTCCTCATCTATCTAAATTTATAACTCATAAACGATAAGAATGGTTTCTTTCTCACTTCTCCTCCCCTTCCCCTCTCGGTTTTAATAAGCTTCAAAGCCCCTCCTCCCCTTCCCCTCTCGGTGTTAATTAATAAGCTTCAAAGCCCCTACTTTTTCCAAACTCCCAAACATATGTACCATAGTCCATAAATTCAGTCCAAGAAAAAACCAATTCTCACCTAGGCAGGCCCCAAGGCCGGGTTACTTCAATGAAATTAAATATCATCTCTTCGTTTAATTGACTTTTGTATCTTAACAAAGTCAGGGGTGATCAACACATACTACGTGCTTGATACTTGGTATACCTTTACACATAGCCTTCAAATAACTCAAAAGACTAGCTTCCACGGTTCTTTTTTAGTTACAAGGGTCAACTTACTTTTCACGTTTATTAATGTACAAGTTTGACCATTAATATATTTCATTCATTATTAGCAAAAAGTAAAAATTACATATTTTTAAAATTTAAAATGAGAGAAAATGAACAACATTTTTAAAAAATTAAATTTATAGTGCATTGACAAACAAAATTTAGGAAAAGCAAAGCATGTGAATAATGTAAAATTAACCAATGCCCCAAGCAAAAAAGAATGGAGGAAGTACTACTATACCTACTATTACCTTCATCAATAAAAACTTTGTATCTTTGATTTTTTCATCAATGGTGGTAAAGTTTTGAATTTGGATTATGATTTTGATTAGTATAATATCATGAAAGTGATAAGTTTTATACTTTTACGAAAGTACTTTTAGTAAAGAATCTTTGTATTATGATGAATAATTTCTTATAAAACTACTCTCTCCCTCCCTTAAAACTTGACCATCTTTCCTTTTTGGGACGTTCTAAAAATTTTTGTCAGTACTCCCTTTTAATCAATTATTTTGTGGTTTTTGTTATTTATCTCTTCTCTGCACAAACCTCGACCACACAGTTTTTACATTATTATTCTCTGTGCCGGTCAACTTTGGCAAAGTTTTAAGGGACGGATGAAGTATATAATTGGTCAAAGATGGAACATAGTTGATCAAAAAATTAAAAGATGTCAAAATTGTAAAGGAGATAGAGAATACGAAGTACTATATACAGTATGTATTACTCCTTCCGTCCCAATTATTTTGTCCCGTTTTACCTTTTCGGGAAGTCCCACTTATATTGTCTCATACCATATTTGGCAAACTTTGTGTGGCTCTAAATCATTATTACTTTATTCTTACTTTATTCTTACTTTATCAATTAATATCAACCACACAAACCCACTTTTCTTAATAACCGTGCCACCCTCTTCCGGGACAATATAAATGGGACGGAGGGAGTATATTGGAGTATATGTTACGTACCCTGCGATTGAAATCGACATATCGGACTTTAGCATGATACACGTTTTCCAAAAATTCTTGGTGACATTAATTCCTTGAGAGCATGTTTGTGACTCACAAGCACGGCATTGAAATTGCAGATAACAGGACCATCATCATCATCGCCATGGGTAGAGGATCTGGCCATCTGCATCATGAGCTTCCAGGCGTTAGAAACCAAATCATCAACTAACATTTCGGCATTGAGAAAGTGAAGGAGCTGGGCTAAGGTCTCCCCAGTAGCGCCACTAGCAATCATTCCCAGTATGAATGATATGCCCAGAGGTGATATCGCAACGTTTTCGCATTAGGAAACTCCTATTTTCTTACTTTCAAAAGAAAATAAATTACAACTCCCTCTTTACTTTTTGGAAGATAGTCAAGATACCGGGGAAAATTAGTCAAGATACCCAATAGTGAACTCTAGGAGTAGTCTTAGAGTCAACCACATCATACAAAGCAATTTGACTCGCTAAACTTGAGGCGGGCAAATTTAGGCCTAAAACGACCAGAACCGAAATCCTGCCTATCAAAAGAATTCCAAAAATACAAACATTCAAAGCAAACTTACTCAGACTAAAATTAAAACAAGTGCCACTAAAGAGAATTAATTTTTTACTCTATAGTCGATACTCTATTGTAAGCCAATGGCAAAGGATCTTTTAATAAAATTACCATAAAAAAAAGAGAAAATAATATTGAAATAAGAACTTTCCACAAAACTCTTCCTGGTACTGAGGAGGTTTTGGAAGAGGACGAGCTCTCGCAATAGGGGTGAATACTAACTCCACCGCCATCGGAGCGGCCAATCAATGCTGTCAGACCCATCACCGATAAAAACTCGCAGCCACAACCCATTCGATCGCCAACCTAGCATCCTGATCTGCATCACTGTCTACCATGTCAAAAGCCAGTTCTTTCTCATCATCCTCCACATTCAGATTGCCACATTGCTTTTCCAAGTGTGCCATTCAAATCTCCCAATTTCGAAGGTACCGACGCCGCTTTGTAAATGCTTCCGAGCTTGTCACCACCGTTGCCCCTGTTCCAGAAAAGATGATCGCCCGCCACACCGGCCGAGACACCAAAGCCAACGAATGAAGAAAACAGTGATCCAATAAATGGATTTGAAACTTTGAACACCAGCGAACTGATCAAATTGAACATCCAAAAATCTGCAACTAATAAACCAAAGAGAGAAATCTGAAACGCAAAACTATACCGCATGAAAATTCGGCGGAAGGAAAGCCCTAACTCTCGTAGGGAGACGACCGCCTTTAAATGCCACAAAATTGAATTAGTTATTAATAAGGACGATTTAACTTTAATATTGGTTGAATAAAAAATATTGACTTTGAAAGACAATATTTTTAAAAATACGTGGTATGTTTTTAAAAGGGAAAATCGCACTTTTAGTCCCTGAAATAGTCACGAAAATGAAATGTCGAACCCGTATTCCCAAGTTTGTAAATGTCGTCCCTCAATTGTCATAAATGTTGTAAATGTGGTCCTTTTAGGGGTGAAATATACAATGTGGGCGAGAGTACATTTCACCCCTTAAAGGACCACATTTACAACATTTTGGACAATTGAGGGGTGACATTTACAATATCAGAAATACGGGTCCGGCATTTCATTTTCGTGACTATTTCAGGGACTAAAAGTGCGATTTTCCCTTTTTAAAAATATTTTTGCACATTTCGAAATTTTAAAGATACTAGATGGATCTAAACAGTACTACCTTTGTCCCTTAAAATTTTGTCAAAGCTGATTGACACGAAGAATAATAAAGTAAAAACTGTGTGGTTGAGATTTGTGGAAAGGAGAGAGAAATAACAGAAACCACACATTAAGTGATTAAAAGACAAAGTGAAAAAGTTTTTTGGAATGTCCAGAAATGGGAAAGCCACAAAGTTTTAAGGGATGAGAGTAGGGGTGGGATCGGGTCGGGTTGGGTCGGGTTTTTGTTAGGACCGTAAAAAAACCGAAAAGCTTCGGGTTCTACATTTTTGGGCCCGATCGGCGGACCGATACTTTCGGGTTGGTCCGGGTTTTAAGAGCCTCGGGTTCGGGTTGTGTTCGGGTCGGGTCGTATTGAACCCGCAAAAAAATCGAACTGATGTATCTAAACACAATTAAAATACAATTACAACAAAAATTGCAAACATCTAAACTTTTAATCAAAAAAATATACGTAGTATATTAAAATTAAAGCAGTATATTTTGAGTATAAAAATCACACAATAGAAAATGTTGTAGAAGAACAATTGGTTCGAAAGCAAAGTAACATTCCCTCCGTCCGAAATTGATTTACAAAGTCAAGATTTTTTGGTCAACCAATGTTAAAGTTAAATAATTCATATTGATACATCATTCATTTTTTTATAATTAAAATTTACATATTAACAAATTACATTAAAATATATTCAAAGTTGCAAAACTCCAAGTTAAATATAATTAAAAATTGACATCCAAATTAAGTGAATAAAATAAAATTGTTTGACTAAAAAAGACATTTTTGCAAATCAATTTGGGACGGATGGAGTATAAAATAATCCGTATGTATCATACACACACACACATATATATATATAAATAAATCAGTATGATGTATTAATAGGTCATACATATTTTATATATAATATATATATATATATATATATATATATATATATATATATATATATATATATATAATATATATAGGGTGAAGATCCCATGCAAACCATGCTTCCGGTGCAAACTACAAACCAATACCATCCCTTGGATTTGAAAAAACGGACGGCTGATGCACATAGGATCCATTAAAAAAGGTGTGGACACACACACGTGATACAATTTTAATCACAACGTTT